GAGTGAGTCTGCAGTGCCATAAAAACAGCAGCATATGCCATGCCTCTCACCCCGTGTGCATGACCCACAGAGTGCACAGATCACCTCTCATAAAAAAAAAAAATGCACTCAGGCTGTTGCAGGCTCCCCAACTGCCTGCCTGCCTCCCCCTCAGGGTTAGGAGCGATGTTTCAATGCGCGGTTCTGTACCACCCACTCCCACCAATGAGAGAGAGAGAGAGAGAGAGAGAGAGAGAGAGAGAGAGAGAGATGGCACTCCTGTGGATGTGAGCATGAGGGGAGGAATGGATCTGCAAGGAAAGAAAAGTTAACTGAACAACCTGATCAGTCTTTATCCTTCACTCTTCCACACTCACAAATGTGTCAATATTCAAGGTCCAATCTTAGTTTTCTTATTTATTCATTTACTTTTTGTCACTGAAATTCTCAAAATGTCTCCTGCCGCCAATTAACAGAAACCCTGCAACAGTCAACACCCCCTAATCAGCAGCAATCAACACTCTACGGAGAATCTGGATGTTATTTTCCCCTCGTCACACACATCCTGTCGGCCGCTTGACCCTGGGCATCCTCATCCAGGAGACGGTGCGTGCACGAAAAACAGAACGAGAAGTTTTGGGAAACTTTCGGCTCGTATCACAATAATCAATCATCCAGTTAAGGCCCCCCCTCTTTGCTCTGTTACCTGACCTGTCGTGATAGCACTGGAGAGTTTCTTCCCACCAATAAACACACGCACGCACTCGTTTCTGCGCTTGATCACTCATGCCAGGGGGCCCCCCGCTCTGTGGCCTCTGGGTGTCCATAACATCGCCGGCCATTTTCATTGTGTTATAATCACAGCATCCTGTTTGTGACCCAGTGACATCAGTTCCTGTTTCCTCCCTGATTAAAAAATGCAGAACACGCCGGTACTGGCCAGCAGATTTTCTCACGCATCACTTTCTGTTTGATGCAGCAACTCTTTTTTTTTTTTTTTTTTGAGATTTGCAGGAAAATAACTACCAAATAACACAAGGTGCAGACACACATCCTAATCAGAAGCATGAGAAGGAAGTTTGTGAGTTTTGGCCAAAGCCGATTTTGACGTTTTGTATTTTGGATGCAGCGTGGAAGCATCTCTGTTTTGGTTTTTAAAAAAAAACAAACTGTTGCTCAAACACAATCAGGAGTCCAACGCTGCTCCTTGTCCCTCGTTGGATGATTTTCAAAACCTTAAATCCTGCTCTCCTTAATTAAACTCCTAATTTAACTTCTAATCGTTTGCCAAGTTTGGGCTCAATTTGCAATCAAGTGGCAAAACACAATCAGAGAATAGTCGGCAAACAAAACCCGAAGTGTTTATATATTTTAAAGAGCCCACTAATATGACAAAGACCAAAACAAATAAGCTTAAAAATGTGTTTCAGAAAACATATTTTATTAAAATCACAAAACATAGGCTATTATTAAAGAAAGACAGAAATATGAGGTGCCAAGTATAAAAGAAAATGTTTTTAAAAAATCACTAAAATTACCATTATGTAGCTGAGCACCGTYGGCGCTTGGCTCTCATTAGGACGTCATCATCCTGAGACAACAGCAAAAGCTAACGCCGATAATACCGCTAATTCTGMTAGCTTTGCTAATGTTGCTAACACTGCCGAAGATATCATTGAAATTTTTAGCAAAATTTGTAGCATCATTAGTAGCGCTAGCAGCGTTAGCAGCGTTAGCAGGTTTAGCGGTTGCTATTGTCTCGGGACGATGACATCGTAACTAGAGCCGAGCACCAACAGTGAAGGCTGTGTTCCATTCTGAAAAATACACTGTAAAAAATGAAATGTTGGATTTACTTAACCATGTTATGTTACCTGGTTCCACTTAACTGAGTTGAGTAAATTCAAAGCAATATACCAGTTTTTT